AAGTTGTCCGGCTTGATGTCGCGGTGGATGACGCTCTTGCTGTGAACAAACTCGATGCGCGCGATCATCTGCTCGGCCAGCAGCAGCGTGGTCTTCAGCGAGAGTTTCCTACCACAGAAGCTGAAGAGGTCCTCGAGTGAGGGCCCCAGCAGATCCATCACCATCACGTTGAACTCGCCCTCCACGCCGTAGAACAGGATGTTGGGGATGCCCACGACCCCACCGCCAGCGTTGAGAATGCGGTAGAATCGGGCCTCGAAGGCCAGCTGCGGGTGGCGCGTCTTCACCTGCTCCAGCTTGATGGCCACGGGCTCGCCGGTCTGGATGTTTGTGCCGCGGAAGATCTCGCCGAACGAGCCCGCCCCAATCTTCTGGCCGATGCGGTATTTGTTGCCAATCAAAATTTCAATGTGGCAGCTTGTATTGCTCATTTTGGATTTGCTGTTTTGTTTCTTATTTGGTCTATTTTGACTTTTTTGTTAACTAATTATTGCACTGGGTGCGTTTCGTTTGTTTCTTTTGTTCGGTCCTCTATGGGGTGTTCGTTTGCTGCACTGGTTGTGTGGCGTTGTTAGTATTTCAGTGCAGAGTGTGGGGGTTTTCTTTTTTTCGTTTCCCTCCCCCCTACCTCGTGCTGTTGCGCGGTCTTTAACGCAGCTGGGGCGCATGCTGCCGTTGAACATGGGAAAAACCGTGGCGAAGGGGGCATAAGAGGTGGGATGCAGTCGTGCATGTACGCAAAGCCCTCAAAATAAGTACGGGGAACAGGCTAGTTGGTCTCTCCCTCTTGCTCTCTCTCTCTCTCTCTCCAGAGACACATATAGATGTGCTTTTGGCCGTATACGTGGGCAGAGGAAGAGAAATAAAAAAAAAAGGCACGCCTTAGGCGTCCTTTCGCGCGTTCTCTCTCTCTTTTTTTGTTTTGTTTTGTTTTGGCATTCTTCGCTCTCCGCCGTTTTTGTTTTCCGCTCAATACTGTCGCTCGTCTGCAGCACCTCTGCAGAATTGAGTTTAGCGGCCTTGCAATTTTTCTTTTGTGTGCTTTTTTTTTTTCGTCTTTCTTTCTCTGTCGCCCCGCTTACGCAGTGCTCTTGTCTCTCGCCTTGGCTTTTGTCGACGCTGACGCACAGAGAGAGAGAGAGAGAGAAACTCGCAGGAAGCAGGCGGTCAACACCTCTGCGTGGTTGCTGCTGTGGCTTGACGTCGGGTCCGGGACGTTCCTGCCGCCGCTGCCGCTGCCCCCGCACCGCCCTACTTCTCTTCCTCCGCTTCCTCCTCCCCGCTGCCGTCCCACCCCGTGTACTCGGTGGAGCTCCCACCGTAGTACCGGTTCGCTTTCCTCCGACGGGGCTCGTTTGGGCGACGCGCCGCCGCGTTGGCCTCGGCCTCGGCCGCAGCCCGCTTTTCCTCCTCTTCCTCCTTCGCACGTAACTCGGCCATCGTCCCGAATCGGGCCCTTGCGGCGTCACGCACACTGCCACCCGGCGCGGCTGCGGCGGGGGCGGGCGTTGGGCCACTGCCGCGCCGCAGCAGCGAGGAGACGAGGCCAAATAACCCACTTTTGCTGGCGTCTGCGAGGTTCCGCGCCGGCGAGGCGGTGGGTGGGCCACCGGTGGGCACCACCCGCAGTGCGGACGAGGTGCGCATCCCAAGGGCCTCAAGCGGCTGCGCCTCCTCCTCGGAGGAGAAGCGGTGGGGCGGGTACACGCGGGCAAAGGCAAAGGCGCTGTGGCCAAGCAACTCCGCAATGGGGCCGCGCAGGTGCGCGGACAGGCTGGCGGTGGCGGGGTCCAGGCCGTCCACCGTGTGGGTGCCCCCACTCGGCAGGGAGCAGCGCACGTGGATGCGGGCGGCCCCTCCTCCTCCTGCGGCGGCGGCGACCGGCGGCGGCGGCGGCGTCGCCTCCTCCTCGGCCGCCGCCACCACGGCGGGGACAGTGGGGGGCGCCGGCATCGGCGTCAGCGGCTGCGCGGGGGTCGGCTCGCCGCTGGGAGGGGTGCCACGGAGCCGGCAAACGCCTCCGTCGCAGGACCGCCCCTTTCGCTCCTCGTCGTGCCCGCTGGGCGATTCATGGCCGCCTGCTTTCCCGGCGGGCTGCGTGCTGCTCTCCGCACTCGCACCCTCCCGCAGCACCGTCACGGTTGTGTTATGCGGCAGCGCGTGAATGTCAAGTTTGGCGGCCGCCTCCACGGAGTCCACCACCACCGCCGCCGTCGCCGTCGCCGTCGCCTGGTCGGCAGCCCCTCCTCCTCCGCCTGCGGCGGCGGTGGCGGGCGGGTCGACGCGCAGGACGAAAGAAGTTGTGCTCCCACGCGGCGCCGCTGCCTCGTCCGCCGCCTGCCGCTCCCGCTCCCGCTCGAGCGCCTGCTGGACCTTCACCCACACGGTGCGCAGCGTCATGCCGGGCGCGGTGGCGACCACCTCCCGCCGCTCGAGCCCGTTGAGCGCGACGAAGTGCAGACCCGCCGGGCCACCGCAGCCCGCACCCGGCGACGCCGTTGCTGCGTGTGTGGCAGCGGCGCCGGTTCCAGCGCCCATCGCCGCCGTGGCGGCACTCACCTCTTCGACGTGCCGCATAAATTCTTCCTTCGCCCCGGCAAGTTTCGCCGGAGGCGGCGTCTGCAGCTCAACGCGCAGAGCCTCGCAGATGCGCCCAGGGGTGAGGGTGTGGCCGCTCAACACACTTCTTGGCCGCTCCCGCAGCGAGGGCGGAAACACGTGCAGGCGCGGAACGCTGGCGCTGGCCTCCGGCACCGCGGCCACGAAGAGGTTGTGCGCCGCTGAGCCTGCCCCCACAAAGTGCACAACCGTCACTGAACCGAGGCGGGATTCTTGCAATACGGCCTCCAACGCGTTTCGCTGCGCCGCCCCATTGCCGGCCAGCGGCGCTCTCCCCAACCGAAACGTCGGTTTGATGGTCTTCCTTCCGTGGGAAGACGTTGTATACAGTTCCGCCAAGTCGACGGCGTCGGCGTCGGCGTCCGCCCTGGCAGTCTCTGGAAGCGCGCTGTGCACAAACACCAGCAACGGAACCTGCCACCGCTTGCTCAGCGCAAGCGCGTCCTCCACGTTGCTGCACACCCGGAGCATGTAGGGAAATCGCGGCCTCCTTTCCCAGCCAGCCACTAATTGCCTGGTCTGCGGGAAACAAAAGGCAAGGACCCAACGAAAGCGGGGAAAAACCAAAGTAGTGGATCTCGGCTTGCGGCACAGAGAGAGCGAGGGAAAAAAAATAAATAAAAGACATAGACGCAGACAGGTAAGCCAGCCAGGAATGAAATCTGCTTCACACACTCCAGCCGCACCACACGACTCCCTTCAGCTGCCTGACTGCGGCAGATGACTCTGCCGAAGTCCGGCCTGTTAGTCGGCTGCCGTGCCGCGTTCCCGCAGTACTTCCTGCACCAACACACCTTCGTCTTCTCATCGATGCCGTTAATGGCTGCAACGCGCCCGTTTTTGCTCCGATAGACCCTCTCGTTTTTTCCTTCTTTACTTCCTTTTGTTGTCTTTCGCCTCCCTCCCCCCCCCTCGCCACCCCCATGTTTTTTTCTTTGCTTGTGTCTTCTCCACCCCTCCCAGAGCCCAAATCCTCCGTGCGCTTCACATAAACAACAACAACAAAAACAAATAAACAAACCCGGGAACGGTTCAATAAATAAAAATAAAATAGAACAAATAAAAAAAAAAAAGAACGTTCGCGCGGACAAACAACAAAATGCGAAAACGTCCTTCATGCCGGTTGTGGCACCGTGCACTTCAACCACGACTTGAATTATATATATATATTTGTTGGTTCGTTTTTGTTTTCGCTTCTTCGTGCCGCCAACGGCGCATCCCGACCCCCCCCTCCCCCGTCACACACACACACACAGACTGCACTACATGTGCGCGCCGCCGAGCACGGCGAACTCGTTCACCTGCCTCTCACGGTACACCTCGCCCCGCCGCAGCACCGTGGACGGAAACGTCGGCTGCTTCGGGCTGTCGGGCAGGTACTGCGGCTCCAGCCCCAGAGAGGTGTGGCGGCCGTACCGCTTCCCCCGCTCACCGTTCGCGTCCCCCGGCTTGCCGTTCACGGTGTGCATCCAGATGCAGGGAAAGGTCGAGTACACCTTCATCTGGATCCGCGACGAGGGGCTGTACAGCTCCGCGTTGAGCAGCATCCGGTGCTTTGACGCCTCCTCCCAGCCATCGACGCAGAAGGGGTGGTCGTAGCCGCACGGGTCGCGGTCAAGGAAGGCTTTGTTGTCGATGTCCTCACCGAGTGGCTTGCCGCGGCGGAAGTCCAGGCACGTGCCCGTGACATCCTTCAGTGCCCCTGTTGGGATTGCCGCAGAGTCGCCCTCCAACACGCGGCTGCACGGCATCTTGAGCACCATGTTGTACACCTTCTCCGGCTGCGTCCAGCGCGGGTTATCCGCCGTGTTTCCGTCCGGCACGCCGTTCAGGTTCCAGTAGGCGTGGTTAAAGACATTCACCACAGTGGCGTCGGCGGGGGAGCCTTCGGGAATAAAAGCCGAGAACTCCGTGTGCAGCGCCGCGGGACGCTTCCGCTCAATGTAGTAGAAGACGAAAATGCGCAGCTCGGCGGGGAGGCCCTGGTCCATGTGCGGCGATCCCAGGCTGAACCGCACCCCCACCACCTCTGCCGTCTCCACCGGGAGGAACGACCAATGGCGCCTGTCGTACCCCGCCGCGCCGCCGTGAACGGAGTGCCGGCTGCCCGGCTTCCGCGACACGTGAACCTCCTCCCCATTCAGCGTTAGCCTCCCCTCGCTGACGCGTCCGGCGTAGCGGCCCACGGTGGAGCCCATGTAGTCCGTGTCCTCTGCGCTCTCCTCGGGGCCCGGGTAGGCGCAGTTCACCTCCACCCACCGGGACCTCTGCGCGTCCCACACCTTGACGGAGTTGATGGACGCCCCGAGCGTGGCAAAGGCGCAGCGGAGGGCGGGCGAGTGCAGGCGGACCAGCTTCCCCGGGCCGAACTTCTCAACGCGGAGAGACAGCGGCATCACGCAGTGGGCTTTCTGGGCAGCGGCGGCCCTCGTTTTCTTCTCGTATGTTACTGCTTGTAAAAAACCAAATGAAGTTTTGGCTTTCCGTGGAGTGCGGTGCACGCAGGGGCCGAAGGAGCAACGAACAACAACAACAACAAAAAAGAGAGAGGAAGGAGGCAGAGGACGAGAGGCGGTAAATAAATATAGACTGGAATGGAAGGAGGGCCAAGAGGAGCTGCATGCTGGGTGGAAGGCGGAGCGGAGGCGACGGCGTTACTTTTTTTCTACGCGCGGGGGAGGCCAGTGCCGGTGCCCCTCCCCCCCCCCAACCGCTCCACTTTTTCCTTTTCTCTTTTCTCTCTTCCCTGCTTCCGTTTTCCACCCCCGCAAGAGATTACACGTACCTGTGAAACACGTCATTCCCACCTTTGGCGTAGAACTCCTCGACGCCGCGGCGCACGTAGTTGGCCGGCACGTACGTCGCGGCCTGCTCGGCCGACAGGAACGGGTACGGCTTGTAGCACAACACGAAGGCCTCCACCTCAACGCCGCGTATTGCAGCCGCCTCCACGCAGCCCGTGCTTGCGCCCGTCTTGTGCGACGCCGCGTGCGCCGGCCGCAGCGAGGAAGTAAACGTCGAGGGGGCGTTGTGCAGGAAGGCGGCCCGTAAGGCGGCGCGCGGCAACCCCTCAGCCCCCGCCTGCTTCCCTGCCGCTGCTGCTGGCGTCGGCGCGGCCGCGACGGCGTCCATGACGGCAGTGCCAATAATGCGCTCCACGTGGTAGCGCCACCCCCGCGGGACAAACACAACATCCCCCGGCAGCGCTCGAACTTCATACACAGCAGAGTCACGTTGCGGTGTATGTGCGGCAGCCGTGTCACTCTTCGACGCCGCCGCTGCCGCCTCTGCCGCCACATGGTTGCAGTGCGCCCCCTGCAGAAGACGTCGCGCCGTCCGTGGAGCGTCCGCAAAAGCGTGCGTCGGGCCACCATACCCCAACGCTGCCTGCCGCTGCATGCGCTCCTCGTTTTGCTTTGCGCACATGGCGACCACCTCCGCGGGGGCATAGAAGGTGAAAAGCAACTCGCGCTGAGGCAGAAGGTACGTCTCACAGTCGCTTCGCCCCAATAAGGCAGAGACGCATGAGGGGGACGCCGATGATGCATCGGCGCCAGCGCTGCCGGTGGGCGCCGCGGCAAATCGCCGTTCCGTCATTGTCCTCAGATAAAAAGGTATCTTTGGGTCCAAGCTCACGCCTAACTTCCAGGGCTCTACAATTCCAGTCGGAACGCTGGGAGAGGCACCTCCGCCGCTTAAATACTTGCTCGCACGGCTACGCGGCGCCGAGGCGGCGGCGTCAGACGCGTGCATCGGGGATGCGGTCTCACCGCACGCCTTTGGACTCTCCGCAATTTCCTCTGCGCTTTTCTCGCCAGCAGCCCCCCCGCTTGTGCAGACACGCAGAAGGCACTGAATGTGTCCAAACGGCATTATGTCTGCGGCCGCATCTGCCTTCCCGTCAGGAGCCCCGCAGGCCGCTGAACGACGCACGGGCAAAGGGTACCCCACAGCGAAGGGCACAGCAGGCTCCAACCCGCCGGCAAGTCGCGCCACCACCGAGCTCTGCGTGTGATCGGCTCCGCCTTTACCGAGGGGAGCCACTGCCGCGTGGGTGGCGGCGCCAACGTCTGTAGGGGGCCGCGTCAGAAACAGCGCCGAGGACGGCAGTTGACTGTGGACGTGAAAGAAGGAGGAGGGGGCGGACGCCGCACTCCGCAGTAACGCCCCCACAACATCTCCGTGCGAGGCGCCCGGCTCCTCCACCCCTTCCGCATTCGTCACGACTCCGCCGTGGCCACCGCTCAGGAGCCCCGTCAGCTCCTCCCAGATTGCCCTTCCGGCACCGCCGCTGGCCTCGTCCGCCGCCTGCAGCTTCAAGAGGGCCGCAAAATGACTCTCGATGACGCCGCAGAGGGGCGCCAGCACACTGTCCTCGGCAGGCCGCGGCGACACTGCCGCCGTCTCTCTCCCGCCGCCATCCATCCCACTGGAGTTGACCGCCGCCTCCTGCGCTTCACTGGCGTTGGGATGCACGTCATGTCTGAGGCGAGGCGGCGTCAGGGCAACGGGTCGTGCGTAGAAGAACGAACGTCGCGCCGGATCCTGTTGCACACGACAAGTGGCCTCAGCGGAGGCGCGTTGCGAGGCGGGTAGCGCCGTCTGGGGCTGATTCCGCACCCCGCGGCCCCCCCGCACCACCACCACGCGACACGGCAGCCGCGCCCCACCCGCCGGGTAGAGCGCGTGGTGGAAAAACAACTTGGAGAGGCGATTTTCCCTCGCCACAATGTATCGCGGCATCGTGGTGAAGAACGGGGCGGACGACCTCAGGTTTGCCCCCGCAAGGTCATCCACAAGCGTCGCCGGAAGAGGACAACCCTCGAGGAACTTCTGCACATACGGGGAATTCCTGCGCTTGAGCTTCAGGCAGGACGCGGTGGGGCGCAGCATGGGCGTTTGTCACACCGACAAGCAGCCTCTTCAGCTCCCCCCCCTCCGCCCTTTTCTTTTATCCCTGCTGCTTTCACCTCCTCCTGTTGCTGTTGTTGTGTGGGTGGGAGAGGAAATTCCTCTTCCCCTGCTGTTTACTACCAGCACCTTCTTTTGTTGAGTGCTCTTGCGTGGAAGCCGCCGTGAAATGCGGCCCACGCACGCACGCATGCACAGGCAGCCCCCGAGGGGGCGTGTGAGGAAAATAAGTAAAACCGGAGAGAAGGAAACGGGCGACTGAGAATAAAAGCAACCACAACAAATGAGCCAATGCAGAAGGGAGAGAGAGAGAGAAATAGTAAAAGAGTACGGAGGGGGGGGG